GAATGTTATATAGGTACATCTCACTCAAGGGCTCCATCGTTACTCTTCCATATAGGACACTAACAATCCGCCCGCGTCATTGTCACGTTGAAGATCGGGTTAACAGCAGCAGCGAATAAGCTGCGTTGACATGACGTCATTGCAGCCTCCATGTAGTGAGGTATAAGAAGCTGCCGAGCCCGCGTAGCGTCAAGCGCAGACTATCAGACTGACAGGTTATACGTGTGTGAGGGTATACAGATTGCTTGATCGTCGCGTGCTCTATTATACGACTCGTAGTCACGTTCAAGCTGACGTCGCGGAAGAGCCGACGTATTTCCGCTTTGCAGGAGCGCACGCGCAATGCCCCCCTTCTGATTTCGTCAAAACGTGACCGACTCACTTATGGTATCTAATTTCATTTCCTTCGCGGCTGTTCGCAAAGCGAACAGCCGTATGTGGCTAGTCGATGGTGGCTAGCCTACGCATCACATCTTCACGACGTGACAAGAAAAAATGTGGTGATGCCAATCTTACCATTTGTCGGCGGCGGCCGCAGGCGGTCAACTTGTCCGAGATGGAAGGGCAGAAGACAGCTTCGATTGGCTCGACGATTGGCTTCGGGCCGGCGCGTACCAGAAGGCCGACCATGATCGTCTCCCTGAATGCACATGCACGCACTATACGGTGCACACACGCACGCACGCTACACACGCGGACACACGTCGCGTCGTCTGCTCGGAGACGTCAGCGTCGTCTGCTAGAAGGCACCCGACGTCGTCTGCTGCACTCGCGACCGGTCAATGGACTGGTGTTGAGCTGCGGCACTGCGGCGTTTCTCAGGTGGCGGGGGGTGACCGGCGCCACCGGTATGTGCGTTTGTTCGTGCGCAACACTCTCGTAACACCGCCTTGCCGAGCTGCCACCGCGATTCTTTTGATGCTGCTCTTTTACTTCACTGCCGCTCGCTTGTTGACTTTTTGCTGATCGTTGCACGGCTTTCGTCTAGCGCTGGACACGGCCTCCTTCAAGTGACGCGGAACGCTGAGCAAGCAAACACGCTCGCGACGCAGTTGAAAGAGCACGGCTCGAGCGGAGTGAATGGATTTGAGCACGGCTGTGCGACGGAGGCTTTCACAGAGTCTGGCCGCAGATTGAATTACTTTCGGCCGTTGTGCTGTGACAACGCAGTAAATCCACGAGGAAAAGTTGAGATTGTCTGTTTCGTTTAATAGGCTCTGACGTTCGTTAAATGACATTTCGTTTCGCTTTCGAACTTTTTGTTATTTTCCTACACGAAAGTCATCTCGCAACGTCCAACACCTGCTGTTCTAGGATCGTGCAGGTATACACTGGTATGCCACGAGATTGTCCTAACGCGAACAAAAATTCAATTTACTATTCCGGTCTGCATATACAGCCGGCAGTTGAAGCATGAATGTCAAGGTTAGCTTTCTAAAGTGGTCGCAAACACTTTGCAGTCCCTCAGCTGAATAAACGGGGGACCTAGTGATTGGGTCGATTGTTGTCTTTAACTTGATGAGGTCGAAAACGATCTTGAAGTTTGATGTTTATCATTTGCAGTACATCTTCTTTTTTCTTTCTTTTACCCTCTATATTTCTACTCTCTCTATTATGTAACAGCGGGCTAGCAGTCAACCATTCTTATGCGGTGCGTGCCAGGAGCGGAAGCCAGTCGTAAAAAACATCAACATTATCAACATTACAGTGATTAACCGTCGGAGATTTTTAATCATATGTAATTCTATCGGCAGACTGTACATTTAAACGAATTTAGATGCATCTGAATCAGGGATAACGTGGAAAGGATTTAAACCTCTAACGTCTCCTCGTAAAAACCATTGGTGTCCATAAGCATAATCGAAAGTAAACAATTTTTAGTTTCGCTGCCTTGCTTCCTTGGCAAACCTCTATAGTGGGCTGGTTTCGCGGTATCGTCTCTATGAAAATTCTACGAGGAAGTTGAAACTATAGATCATCATTATTTTTTTTTTTTTTGCTTGTCAACTGTAGCATGTCGAAAGATCGAGAAAGTGCTTTTTGAAGCTCGACCAGCTTAACTTGCATTGAATTTAATTTTTAAATATTTGACTGTCTTTAGACGCATTGGTATTTGGTTAAGGCCACATAGATGTTGTGGATGTGATTCTGTTTTGTATGTTTCCTTACAGTTATTATTGTGTGCGCTAAGAAATTATCTCCGTGACGGATTCTATATTTAGTACTCCGAACTTATCTATCAAGGTTAGTCGTCCGCTTATTTCACCTGGTCGAGCGACAACACAACATTCATAGCTTCACTTCAATGCGATATGAGATTTTTGACGAGTGATAGATATGTGGGGTTTAACGTCCCAAAACCACCCTATGATTATGAGAGACGCTGTAGGGGAGGATTGATTGATATGTGGGGTTTAACGTCCCAAAACCACTATATGATTATGAGAGACGCCGTAGTGGAGGGCTCCGGAAATTTAGACCACCTGGGGTTCTTTAACGTGCACCCAAATCTGAGCACACGGGTCTACAACATTTCCGCCTCCATCGGAAATGCGGCCGCCGCAGCCGGGATTCGAACCCGCGCCCTGCGGGTCAGCAGCCGAGTACCTTAGCCACTAGACCACCGCGGCGGGGCACTGCTGTAGGGGAGGGCTCCGGAAATTTTTACCACCTGGGGTTCTTTGACATGCGCCCAAATCTGAGCACACGGGCCTACAGCATTTTCACCTCCATCGAAAATGCAGCCGCCGCAGCCGGGATTCAATCCCGTGACCTGCGGGTCAGCAGCCGAGTACCTTAGCCACTAGACCACCGCGGCGGGGTGATATGACATTTTTGTATGGTAGACAAAGAAAGTGCTACATTTTTTGTAGTTTTGGCATTATTATTAAAATTACAGTAGTAAAATTTTAGCTAGTTCTTTCTCCTTTTGTAGGCAGTGCTCTGGAATTCAGCTATGGTGATGTTTTCTTCGCCAATGGGGAATTTATCATGCAGACTAAAGGAATATATAATCTTGCCAAGTTCTGCCGGTTTTAAATATTTTATTACCACCAATTGGCAATTCACTTCGAAATATGTTTAGACGACAACAGACGATGTGAAACGATTGTTGTATTTACAACACGGGCGCGCCAGCTAATAACCGAACATCCGACGAGAGAACATGATCATGATGTTTTGCATGCACAGGTGAAGTTATGCACTACACAGTCAGTGCTCGCATCTAGGAAGGTTGTTACTCTGCATAACTTAATAAAAATATTATTCCACTACTCAGTCCATTCCCTGCACTGAGTATGAGTCATGTTTAGAGGGCAACAATAGTCAGTCAGTCCGTCAACAAACTTTGCTCGGGTCCTAAGGAACCACAGAGTAGTTCGTGTTGCGGGTCGCCCCCACGTTCGCGCCGGGAGACCGCAGTTCTCCGCCCGTTCGCGGGTCCTTTGGACAGCCCCCAGTTGTCCACAGAAACTGCCGCTTGTCAAGGCTTCCTCCCAGTCCTCCTGTTTATTAAAAGAGGCATTTTGTAACGCTGATCATTGCCAGAGCATGTGCGCTAACGAACATCTGCCCCGCCACGGTGGTCTAGTGACCAAGGCTGCTGACCCGCAGGTCGTGGGATCGAATCCCGGCTGCGGCGACTGCTGCATTTTCGGTGGAAGCGAAAACGATGTAGGCCCGTGTGCTCAAATTTGTGTGCACCTTAAAGAACCCCAAATGGTCGAAATTTTCGGAGTCCTCCACTACGGCATCTCTCGTAATCATATGGTAGTTTGGGGACGTCAAACCTCACGTATCAATCAATCAATCATCAACAAGCAATACTGTGTTATGTGTTTATGCCTGTATATATTATAGTCATCATCCGGCACCTGGAGTAGCGTGTCAGGTGAAAAACCAGGCATACTTCTCCAGCTTTCTATTAAAATATTTCTCTCTCTCTTTTCATGGCACACAGGGCAATGTGGATTGATGTCGATAGTGGTGGTGATGGTGATAGCCATGGATCACATGGCACGTACCTACAATGAGGGAGAATGCAAGAATCGGATGGTTGCTGTTCTGGTTTAGTCGCTTTGCTCATGACTACGACAACTACCCGATTCTTGGATTTTCCCTCATTGCGGGTACGTGCCGCGTTATCCAAGGTTATCATCATCACTAACACCGCCGGGTCTGCGCGCAGCATGAGTACAACTAAAGTTGGCTGGTGCAGGTAAGCTCCCACGTCATTTGTGCTCGTGGTTCGTAGAGAACGATAGACGAATTGCAAGCCCATTGTAACCGCACACTTTGCAGTTTGTGACGAAGTGCTGACACAGGCTTGAAACCACAGGCTCGGCACGATTCGTCGAACACTTACATGGTCCAGAGTTTTTAGAGCCGTGAACGTGATAGAGAGAAGCTCGGGTTCATGTTTGATGTGGCCGTATGAGTGTGCAGAGGACCCCACTAAGGGAAGGAGAGAAAAAGCGATGTTTCCTCGCAGCCAGCCCCCTTCACCCGCATTCCCCAGTTGAAAATAAAGATGAAGCCATGACGAACCGCTCACAGGCATCAGCCTTTTGTGCCTGAGTTTGGGAGGCTAAAGATCAGAAGTGAACAGTTCTTAGTACGCAACATCAAAAGTCGTTGGCTGCCATTACCACCGAAAACATTTGTAATCATAACCCTGCTTATTTAAGCATCGACGAGGCAGTTACGACTGAGAAGTTGTACGAAGCACACTGTACCCCCCCCCCACCCCCCTAGATGTTCAGTGTGGGGCGTACAAGTGTAGAAGTGCGTTGAGGTGTCTCGACAATTCTAGATTCTAGTCGTTTGCCCACATTTCGTGCCCGACGTCGGACGATGTCGTCACACTACCGTTTTCTCTCCAATTTTGCATCTTCAGAGCACAGCAGTGCTGACGCCGAATGACGCGGAATTCCGGCAATGCAGCGGGTCTGAAACGCTCCAAATTATTTGGTGTGGGTGTTTGCTGATGACCCGTCGCCATGGACGGAAAACAGCTGGCCTTCGTCCTACTCTGGCAAATTGTTGGTATGACGTTTGAGGACTCATAATTTGCTATCTATCTATCTATCTATCTATCTATCTATCTATCTATCTATCTATCTATCTATCTATCTATCTATCTATCTATCTATCTATCTATCTATCTATCTATCTATCTATCTATCTATCTATCTATCTATCTATCTATCTATCTGTCTGTCTGTCTGTCTGTCTGTCTGTCTGTCTGTCTGTCTGTCTGTCTGTCTGTCTGTCTGTCTGTCTGTCTGTCTGTCTGTCCGACTAGCTGGCTGGCCTGGCCTGGCTGGACTGGCCTGGCCTGGCTGGCTGGCCTGGCTGGCTGGCCTGGCTGGCTGGCCTGGCTGGCTGGCTGTCGTAGACTGAATATTTTATGGATTTTTCATTTAAACTACATCACGTAATGTCCGGTGTTGACAACAATTGACTGGCCTCAATATCTTTTAAACTAACAACCTTGTCATTATGCCCATGGTCATGCTTCTCCCATCGACGTACTTTCGTGTATTTCTCTAAAGTCGTGCAGGGGCTCGTGCGTGAGCGGTGGCATTACTACGTCCCCAAATGTCACATTCCAGGGCCCCAGCCAATCAGTGAGTACATTCACCATGCAACCCTTACCTCAAGCGCCATTCGAGGAAAATGTTTGTACTTTGCAAGATATTCTACAGGCCACAGCGGCCAAATGTTGATAAGGGCAACAGGCGACAATATGAATGTGCCCATATTAACACTGAGGTAACCACGACTTGTCCCATATCATATCGTGGTTTTCGCGTAAAAGCCCTGAATACCTTATTTCATCCCAATATATCCTTTTGCCGACCACAAGCGCTATTATTATTATTATTATTATTATTATTATTATTATTATTATTATTATTATTATTATTATTATTATTATTATTATTATTATTATTATTATTGGTATAAGTAGTAGTAGTAGTATCAGAAGCAGTGGCGGCGGTGGTGGCGTACCGATGGATTGGTTCATCTAGCAGACTTGTTGATTTACTATGTGATTGATTAGCTTATCAGTCAATTTAGTGACCGAGTGGCTCACGTGGTTGCTGACCATCTGTCCAATAAGTTTTCTGACCTATTGATTCAATTGTTAATTGAATAACTGGTTGGTTAATCGTTGTTGACTGACTTGACCCCGTTATGTAAGTGCACAGCGCTGCATCAAAGACAATTAGGAGATCGTTCGCTTCCATTTCCAATTAATAAAGAAATCACCTCTTAAATGTACATGATATTGTTTGAGTTACAGCTTAATCAATTTCATAGCCTAATGATCAAGAATTGATTATTAACTATTCAAACCTAAAGCATCACTTGGGAAACAAAATTCAACCGCGGGCTTCAAACTCAACATCGCACGTTCGCTTTTACAGGGTTATTAAGGCGTAACGTTTCGATGCCTCATCAAAGTTAAATATGACTGTCGGCGACGTAGGCGTCCACACGAGTGATGCTAAAAATCATGTGATGATGTCACACTATGACGTAATCATGATGCCACAGGTAGCGGTGTTTTCGACGTGCGACGTCATGATTACGTCACATCGCTACATTGTACATCTTCACTTCAGCAACAGTGGGCCAATACCGGAGGCACTGCAAAGCCACGTGAGATGCAGAAAACTGCCAACACCTCTGATCTCGGAGACCATTATAAACCACATTGTATGCAGAATGCTTTATTGGGGAGGGGCGACAGTCAATGCCTTAGCAGAAATGGAAGAAGATAGCTTTCGCCTTCGAGTCGTCTGAAGTAAATGCGTAAGGGACTGTGGAAGTTTTGATTGATTGATTGATTGAATGATTTATCGATTGCACAGTCCCTCGCGAGTGGGGCCAGGAGTGGAGCAGCTGCAACGGCGCCAAGCAGTCTCCCGTGCTCCTGCTGTCACACAAGTCGATCGGTGTGACGGTGCCGCCGCTGCGATTCCAGCACTTCTCCACGCCGCTCGCCAATCCGGTCATCTACAACACAGGAAGAACGCGTAAGTATCCAGCTTCGAACGAGTTCCGAGATTGCCTCAGTTCAGTCCCGGAGGCCACTATGTCTCCCTCGGAGGACTGCCAAATTTCTCCGCTGTGTGGCAGCAGCATACAGCAACACAAGAAAAAAATAAAGAGTACTTGGAGTGTGTTTCGGCCGAGGAATAATGGTTGCCATGTGGCTTCGTCGAAAGCTCGGCTATCACCATACCTCTCAGAAATGCAATGCCACCCTGATCGTGCACACGTCGTTCGTGAACTCTAAGTGCTGGGACCGCGGTGATAACGTAGTAATGCAAGATAGATGACGGTTACAGTTTCGTTGCAGGAAAATACCTTAAATACTCTGTATTCCTTTTCCTATAATGTTATCCATTGGTAGATTTGGAGCACTTCCGGTAATACATTCTTCTGCTCCATGCGGAGCAAGTCTCTTCCATTGGCGGATTGAGAGTGCTCCCTGTACGTTCCATTGGCAGATCTGGAGCAGCTCCGTCGCCGAGATCCACTCCATGGAGCGACTTTTTCTACTCCGTGAAAATCGGTCGATTTCACCGGAGTTCGCTAGCGCCCCGTGCTTTAAAACGGTGCCAACTTTAGGCGCGCCAACAGATGCCGGTAGCGTCAGCTGCGCCTCGCGTGAGATCTGACCTTTTGCTATAGCGTAGCGTCGCGGTGCCCAGCGTGCCCACTCAAGCAAGCGCGCATCACGTTCCATTCTGACCCTGCCATTTGCTCAGAGGGAGCGCGTGTGTTCCATTGGTAGATTCTCTTCTGTTGCCCTCCGCCAGACTGGAGTGCTTCAGCACAGAGCTCGTGGGTCACAATCTGCCAATCGATATCATCATTAGTAGAGGGCAATTCGAAACAAGTTGCAGAATCGTACGTGTGTTTGGCCATTCGTGTTTGTTCAAAGTGGGCATCAACATTACCTAATACGCTAAAACGCTAATGATCCATCTCACATCTTGGTATGTAAAAATACGTCCAGTGCTGCTGTACCTTCACTCTAGGGTCTCGCTTTATCGTACAGTAAAAACAACCTGAGAACCCTTCATTAAATGCCCGAAGAGACTGGTACTATAGGTAGAGGGCTTCACATATCTAAGAAACAGCAGTCCGAGGCTCTAAGGCGTGCTGTCATTTCCAGTGCAAAATATGTAAATTTCTTTCCTGTGTAGGCATAACGCTGATCTCCAAGTGGCCCTCGTGACAGCTTTATGCTCTCCCATAGAATATTACCAGGTACTCTTAATCGTTAACGACTCTTTCTAAATAAACATGTCTCGGGACGGCTTTCTGCTCTCCCATAGTAGAGTACCCGGTATCCTAAATCGCTAAACACTTTGTCTAAACACACCTGTGCCCCTGATTACTCAAATGTTATCATTTTTGTTACGTAGTGTAAACAAACAAACTTTTTCTGAACAGTAGGGTACGGACATTACGCTAAATTGCTTACATTTCGTTCTAAACACACAAGTTACGCAACCGTTCTTTGCTTTGCACTTAATCATCAGCGCGTTTTCTCATACAGCTTATGCTCAGCCTCTTCAACCACTAGTAAACTACATCTACGATCACATACAATGGACGCACTCATTCAAACACACACAACAATATCTGTCTCGCAACGATATTTACAGTGGAGCTGCTTAACTTTTCATTATGCCGGGTGGCGTCACCAGAAAACCATCATCATAATCATCATCATCATAATCATCACCACCACCACCACCACAGCACCATAATCATCATCATCATCATCATCATCATCATCATCGCGAACCGGCCAAGGAGGTTTCAAAAAAATTGCTGGAGCGGAAGCTGCCACAATGCTTTGTCAGCTTTTGCACTCTAAAGATCTACGAAACATGCTATTTTCTGGTGGTGCCCACTTAGACATCAAGTGGCTTTGATTTGTTAGTCTAAAGGCTACGTTAATTATAAATTAAAAGATAGTTGTTTCCTATAGAATAATCCGAGGAGACTACATTCGGTGACTTAATCTACAATAAATTTTGCCTAATAAATTTTGCCTACAATAAATTCAAGGCGTACGGTAGAAAAGTAGCTACGCAATGACGCACTTTGAGCACTATCTCAACCGTAAAGGTTGCTAAGTTAAACTCGTTGGGCGTACGAGGAAAGCACTCTTTCTCATGCTAAGAAGGAAATGTTCCGTTGAGTGTTATTGACGTTTGTGGGAATAAATATTTTCTAAACAACAGCTCATCATACCTCTAGACAGATGGCTGCCGCAGCCGCCATCTTACAGTTGGCATGGCTTCACTCATGGGCAAGACTTTCCATTCCAGCAGTTTTTTAAACCTCATTGGAACCGGCAAGCGCTCTCCTCTTTTCGTCCTCATCTTCACCCTCTCCTTCACTCCCAGAACACGTGCGCCTATATGTCCGGCGCGGGATGTAACAACTCTGATGAGGGAGAGAACGAGTATATTGAGAGAACGAAAGAATAATAATAAAAAAATTGGCCCCATATCTGCATGGTTAACTGTAAATGTCGTCGAAAGACGATAGTCTTGCGTGTGGAGAGAGTGAACAAAACATTTATTTGATGTTCTGCGCAAGGAAATCGGCGAATGGTATTCTGGAGGCGCTGCGTTAGAGTGTCTCGAACGTGCAGCGGAGGCGAACGAGCGCATCAAGTCACACGTGAGACATGAGCGCCATGTCGCAGTTTTCTTGGAAAACGAAGCGCGTGGCTCTGAGACGGGTGTCCGCGCCCGTCTCAGAGGTGATAAGTTGTAGAACGCAAGGGGACGGGTAGGGGCCACCACTTTTCGTCCTAGCAAAGCGTTAGAAATGCTCGCCTTTTCGTGCAAGCATTGCATGGTCAGCGCAGCGTGATATGCGCTATGGTCCTTAAAATTACTTATGTATGCCTTTTCTAGTAAAAGACGCACATGCAGAACATATACGTGTTGTTATGGTGCCTCAGACATGCGCAATAATTGTTTTTAATTGACAATTGCACAAGTATGAACGCTAAATCTTGGCGCTGCGGATGTAGTCGGCCGTTTTAAATACCCGGTGCCGTTAAGAGTGGACAAACAGACAAATGTGCAGACAGACAGACAGACAGACAGACAGACAGACAGACAGACAGACAGACAGACAGACAGACAGACAGACGGACGGATGGACGGACGGACGGACGGACGGACGGACAGACAGACAGACAGACAGACAGACAGACAGACAGACAGACAGACAGACAGACAGACAGACAGACAGACAGACAGACAGACAGACAGACAGACAGACAGAGAGTCGGATCAAAATTTTTGCGTTGAAGGACCCCAAGAAAGGCTATCGTCTTTGATAATAATTTTGGTTGTATAACGTCCCCAAACCGCCATATGATTAATAGAGACCCCCTATTGCAGGGCTTCGGAAATTTTTACCCCCTGGGTGCACCTATATCTGAGTACACTGGTCTAAAACATTTTTGCGGCCCCTATGTGGGAGCCCATCCAAACAATCTGCCGGAATTTAGTAAAGTCTACATCTCTCTCTCCACCGAAAATGCGGCCGTCGCAGCAGAGATTCGATCACGAAGAAATATATATTGAAAGAGAAAAGAAAGAGAGAAGATTACAAGACAGGGAAAAGAATAGAGAAAGAAAGAGACCCAAAAAAGAGAGAGAGCAAGCGTAAGTATTGCATAGTGTGACAAAGGTGCAGGAAATGGAAGTGAAGCGGAGGAGGGGGGAGAAAAGGGCAACGGCATCATCTGGCTCCGCTGCGCTTTCTCAGTCTTAGCATCACTATAGTACGTAGCTGCCCCAAGTTCCCTCAGAATGGATTTGCAGTGTGGTTTTCCGGCCGATATATGTGCTTATAGCTTGTAGGGTTTCGGACTGCCGCTAGCCCGATACCCTTCAGGGGAGACACCGAGACAGGCTAAGTGAGTGGGGTTCATGTGAATTTTGCCGTTTCTGCCCCTTTCGAGGTCAAATGTGAACGCCTTTCATGTCGACGTGACTTCGCTTCGCGCTGCACGAATTGGTGTTAGGCATTAACCACTGCTCTGTCCGTTGCAGTGCGTGTGCGCGCGTCGATGCCGAAACCGATCGTGACCGGAGGACTGCTGACGGAGGAGTACGTGTTCGATCAGGCCGAGTTCCACTGGGGCCGAGACGACCACAGCGGGAGCGAACACATCGTCGATGCGCTCAGCTACGCCGTCGAGGTGGGCCATCACTGATTGAGGGAATTCAGGCCGATATATGTGGCCGATAGCTTGTAGGGTTTCGGGCTGCCACTAGCCCGGTATCCCTACGGGAAGACACCGAGACAGACTAGCAGCCATCTTTACTTAACCGGTACCCGGCCGCAACTGCCCGCTGCCAGCGGCTGCCGTGTGCCACGAGCGCACCCAGAAGCATCGTCCTCCTCTTCTATACAGTGCGCTGGCTATAGTGAGCTATAAACCCCTTCACTGTTTGTTTAGATTTACAAACACAGACCTGTGTTTAGAAAAAGTGGTTAACGATTCAGAGTACTTAGTACTCTACTATGGGAGAGCTGAAAGCCGTCCCGGGTTAAATCCGATGAAATGAATGGTGATAAACACAGACCTTCTTTTATGACAACTGCTTTCGTCTGTTTATCTGCCAGAGTAACATTGGTGGGCAAAAAGAGCGCTAGGAAATAGCCCACTGATTTTCTACCCTTTTCTTCCCTATAATTTGGCAAAATATATTCAAGTAAGTGTTCTTTTGAGCTACATAGAAACAACAAAATATTGCTTTGAACGTTTCGCACTTTCTTTTTATCTGTAAAACTAATAAGAGACTTTCCTCCCCCTTGAAAAAACGTAAAAACGACCTTTCGGTTTTGACGTTACGATCTGGTAAATGAGTTGTTTTTGGGCACAACGCTTGCAATCTTGAAACCGCGTGTCTATAGTCGTTGACAACCTAAGAATAATTATATAGACTCCGCCCACGAGGCCGCATTGTCCTTATTTTACATGCCTCGGCGCTACGGAAGTAGTTCCCAAACAACGGCAATATTTTTTTATCGAATACAACCATTATCTTGCAATCTTTCATTGATATTGATATAAATAAACCAAAGCTCAATAAGAAAACTTTTAAGGACACGGAGTTCAGCGTCAGCTTAGCCATATATCTGTTATTTAAATCGCACATCCTACCACGCTCACCTCACAGTCCACGAAGGAGCAATGTACATCTCTCGAAGGCGACGTTTTTGCGCAGTACCTAAAAAATAATGTCACTGGTAAAGTGAAGGTACAAAAAAAAACTTCTTTCGCGCTTTCAAAAAAACGACACAGGGACATGAATCAATTTTTTTTTTTAATTTTCACGTTGTCTAAGAAACTTTCGCTGCCAAGTTTCTTCGCTATCTGCTGTAACTATGGGCGCACTATGACTATATAAAAGCGAAGAATGGAAAAGTGATCTGAGATTGACTTCGTGATTTTTGGTTCTTGTGCTGCCGTAAATACCGAATGTGCGCCCCGCGTTTTGTCATCGTGTTTGAGATATGACGTCTTCTCGCAAAGAAATAAAAGCGCGCAACGCACATTGTGTTTAGCGGTGGAAATCATTGCATACATTCTCGTTTAAATATAATTCCAAGGCGATGTACGCGGCTAAATGGCGGTGACTAAGAGCTGTCGGTTGAACTTTTATATTCTTGGTCTGACAACTCTCACTCGATGCTTTTCCATGACTCGCATCAGCCCTTTAGTATTGAACGTTTTCTAAACGCGGCTCAGCTTTGCTGGAACAGGGGCCACTATACCTTCTATGAGTGTGTCTGTGCTGGCAAGAGGGATTTCTCTCTCTCCAGTGAATGGGAGTGAATTACGTGCTTGAGATTGTTTTCACAGTGAAGTGCAATACATCCTTCATGTTTTGTTGCACGGGACTCCAATTTAGTATAAACAAGTTATCACTGCGTAATACACGCACACAATACAGGCGAAATGCAAAACAAGAAGAGCACCTTAGACAAAACTAAGAGTTCCTAATATTAGAGAACTCCAGGTGGTCTAAATTTCCGGAGCCCTCCACTACGGCGTCTCCCATGATCATATAGTGGTTTTGGGACGTTGAACCCCGCATATCAATCAAGAGTTCCTAGTAAGATATCATCAAGTATTGTGCATTAAGATCGTCTTAAAAACACGATCTTTCTTTTTTTAGCGGTGTCACCTCAGTAACAATCACGGTCGATCCAACTGATCGCACTTGATCGTTATCGCTGCACTGATCACGATCGATGCAGTAATATTAAATAGCGTGCATCGTTTCGCGGTTTTAAAGACCTCGCATAGTTATGCCAAAGAACAGTCTTTCGAATAAAAAAAAAGAACCTCGCACGGTGTTTTTCATGCAAGGTGTTCGAGCATCGAGCGTGAGACGAGCGCTTACTCAACGTGGCACATAATTAATGACACACACACCGGATGACCACAATTCACTTTATAACGCATAGGGCATTGCATGCAATCCCCACCTGGTTTGTTTACTTTCGTACTGTGTCTCGTAGCACGTTATGTTGGACGCTTTTTCTTTCACGTTTTGTACGCACTCGCATCACTCATATGGGCGCGCATATCGGACAAGATCACCGAGGTTTCCGCGTCACGATACCCAAATAAACACACTCGCACACGCACATGTGGCAACGCTGATGCCACGGCTTTTGCGGGCGATAAATCACAGACGCTCACATTTCACAAAACACTGACGCGCCAATTGAGACTTCACTTTCACCTTACTGCACGCAAATGACCACGACGAACAATCGCCGAGAGTGGTCAGTGACCCTAAGGCGATATGCTTTGTGCATCCGAGTGACTGATGAAGTAGACGCCGAGTTTGCTGCTTCACGCTGCCGAAACGATGGAACGCGATGAAGCTTTGCCGCTTCGGTGCACTTCAAACTCTGCAAAATCAGAAACATCACCATCGAATGACGGCCAGTGAGGATGATGCTGAGTGCGAGTCAATGAAACAGCTTCTGGAAGAAGAAAACGCCACAGAAAAACCGAATGGACGCCTACTGTTAAGTTTGGCTTAGAAATTCGTCTGGGCAGACGCCTTTGGGCCTAAGCCGATCCACTGGAGAGGTTCTCAATTCCTTCGGCGCCCAGTCTGACCGACGCTGCCGAAGATTTGAGCAATTATCCAGACCAGGCAGCAAGCAAAGGCGAGTTCACGTCCTTCGAATGCGGATCCTTTTGTCGTCCCTTCAAACAGCAGCGTGACTGATGGCCTCGGCGACTCATCGGGCGACAGGAAAGCTGGCGTGAGCGGCGCCAGAGCTGACGGCGGAGCGGCGCTTCTTTAATCCTCCGTCAAGTAGCCGACCGGCCGACTGCCTATGCCCACCAGGCATTGTCCCTGCTGGCCGGAAGAGGAGACGTCGTGTCGCCGCGACGCCACGACGAAAGAGGGCAACAGGGACGGCGTCTTCCTGAACCGTGACGGCCACCGCAGATCGCCCCGCTCATTGGGCGAGCTGTGCGGTGGACCCTTTGAAGTATGCGGCCAGGATCGTGGGAACTCTCGACTAACGGCACACACACGACGAGGAAGAGCCCTGCTGGCGCCACCACAGTGCAGTGTTCACGTGGACCGTGCATGCTCGCCCCCCTCACCTGTGTGTGCGTGATTGGTGTTCGACTCGGAGAGGAGGAGCCCGACAGGGCATAAAACGACGCCGCAGAGTGCTGGACGTCGCTCTGAACTATGTAACGTTGAACCACCACGATCGTGGTTTGTGAAACCACTATCCCTTCTTTTCTGTAAATATGTGTAAATAGTGACATAAACCCTGCTCTGTTCTCGTATCCTCCAGCGACCTTCCTCCCTTCAACCATAACAACTGGTTGGCAGCGGTGAGATGGACTTCGCGACATGGTGCTGTGCTGTGGTGAGTGCTTGGTCTTTGCTTTGACTTTCCAGGCTTCAATTGTGTGAGTTTATTAGAAGCTGGATTGTGTGTGAATTAGGGAGATTACCTTTTGTGAGTTTTGAGTTGTAGGGATCACCTAATTATGTGTGAAATGCAGGACCAAAGTACAACGGCAATCATGTCGTGGAAGGCAATGCTAAGAGATGAACTTTTGGGTGTGAGTAAGCATCTAGGCATTGAAGTAGAGGAAAGAATGTGCAGGACAGCGATTTGGATGCTGATCTCGCAAAAAGCCAGTGAGGACGAGATTCAAAACGCAGTAGAGATTTTTAAAAACAGGAAATGGAGGAACGGGAGCGAGAGGAACGCGAACGAGAGGAACAGAAACGAGAGGAACGGGAAAGAAAAGAAAAGGAAAGCAGGGATAGGGAGGAAAGATAAGAAAAAGAAAGATTGGAACGACAGAAAGAAAGAGACCAGTGGGAGGAAAGCCTGAAATTAAAACAGGAAGAGAAAAAAAGATCAATACAGTACCTTAGATTGGCTCAAGCAAATTCGAGGATCCATGCATTCGAAGCGGATGAGGATTTAGAGAGTTATCTAACCTCTTACGAAAAAGTTTGCAGAGAACTAGAGCTCGACGAGGACTATTGATCTTTCGCCTTATCGAGTGTCCTTCCGTGCAACTTGATGGGTAGGATACTATACCTTTCCGAGGAACAGTTCAATAGGTACGATGTAGCTAAGGCAGCTTTACTGCGGTGCTTCGGCATCAGAGTTGACAGAAAGCGAATTGAGTACAAGCTCACGAACGCTCCCGTGAAGAACGCGCGACGTTGTGCTGGTAGAAAAACCAAACCTGAGAGAGGTCCGCGTGTCTCTTATAGCACCAAGGTAGATAGTGAGCGAAAATGGGAGATAGAACAACAGGAGCGAGGTGAAGAGCGTGAGCGAGCACTCAGCCTAGTGATTGAACTGTCGCAAGAAAAAGTCGAGGCAGGGAGGCGGAAGATTCAGCCATCCGCAAGTGTAGCGCACGAGAAGTGCGAGGTGCAGTCCAGAGCTATAGAGAAGGCTAGCACGCGTGAAGAGCGCAGCAGGTTCGAAGACGAACCAAATTCGAGTGCTGCGAAAGATGCTGCGCTGATTAGAGAGGCCGACGAAGGCCAGAGCAAGTGCGACGAGGTGCTGTGCCAGTCAACTGTTAGCGAAACAGCTGGGATAGCTGTAGAAAAGCTGGTAAAGACCTCAACTGTGTTTGTCGCGACGGTGGGTCTTGCAAACGATGTCGAAGTA